ATATTTCAGTAATTTAAGAACACACTTACATGTTCACAGTTCTCTGAAGTCAGTTAATAGTAACATGACATGCAGGTAAAAAAATTAAATGTTATCTTTTTAAGTCTTTTATTTTGACTCTTTATAGCAAATTAAAAATATAAAAATTATATTGTAGGTTATATAAATATTAGTTACAGTACATTCATTAAATGTTGCTATGTCAAGTACGGAAGTAATTGCTTTATGAATGTAACTTAAATTGAAAAGACAAGGAAACTTTCAAAACAGTGTATGTGGAATAAAGCACTGCAAAATTAAGTGAGTGTCTGGAGTCTGAGATAATTATTAAAACAGCCTCCATGTATGTCCAGTTCACACAGTGATCGGCTACCAGTGACTCTCACATCCAATCTGAACCAGTGACTTTACACGATGATCAATATATGTGGAAACATCACAAAAGCAAAACAAAGCCATATTATGACATTGGTGATGATGACGTATGATTTCTTAAAATAAAAATAAAATAATATTCGTGGAGTAGCTGCTGACCTATGTCCAAGAAGACGGTGCCATCATAGCAGTGCTTTAAAGGTTTATGCACTGTAGCCTATTATTTAATCAATTACAAACGGCAATGTTTGTTATAATGATTAGCATTTTAACTACAAAAAAACATTTCTCAGTAGGTATGTAGCTTATATAGTAACAGAAACACTGGCTATATACAAAATAAACAAGAAATTAAGAATGACACAGAATACTCCAACAGACTAACTTACATAAATTTTATTAGGCCACAGATACATTTGTAGAGGTTTATTTCAAGCACTGTTGTAAGCACACTGCAGTACTAGTCACCAATGACAACTAGGTAGGCTACTAATCAAACTATTCAAACAAAAATTTGTCTCACAAATGAAATAAAAAGCTTAGCACATCAAAGAGTAAAAACTATATTAGCATGGTTAATGGTTAAGCACAGGTTATTCGCTTCTTGTTTGCTCTGCTGTGTGCCTGTAATCATTCAGGCAGAACAGCTCAGACGATTTATCATATTACACAAACTTATTGTTTTGACACTGTTGCAGTTAATTCTTCACATTGAAACTTCTTTACCTTTTCGAAATAATCCATTAAACAAGTTGCGATTTGAAGAGCGTGCACTAATATTTTCAGTACCATTCGTTTGCGCGTTGTCTCAAGGACACGCCCACAATATGAGAACTAATGAATATTCATGTGACTCCACCCACTGGAACAGTTTTTCACAGGAACTGAATATTACACCACACCTGTTAGCGCCACAGCGACAGGTGTAACGCAGTAACCCGGAAATACGACAGACGAAAACAACAGGTGAGTGGTCGATAATTCCTCTGAAAGATACATTAGAACAATTTATGACAAATTAGGCAAAATAATAAAATGTTTTACAAAAATAAATGTGTGTTATTTACGATTAGTCTACATAAGGATGGATCGAGTTCTTTGATTTTCCTAACTTTAAAGATTGTAAGATTAATAGCTTATTATAAAAAGAAACGATAAAATATTTAAGTATTGATATAAGTGTTAAACGCATGAATTTGAGCTCATAGTCTGCCATTTTTTAACCGGATAAACGTACGAGTAAAACAATGACTAGAAGCGGCCATTGTTTCCCCTATCGTTTCTAGTTTCTTAATTCAAAATATATTTTTCTAAAGTTTAAAATATATATTATACCTTAAGATTCTCGTTGTGGTTTATTATTACAAGTTTATCTCTTTTACAAGTTCTTCTGGTCGAAAACTAGTAAAGACAAAACTTCCCGTTTATTCAGGATGTCATCGGAGTACATTTGAATGTTGAACAGGTTGGATTCGTTTATGGGCATCAGGCTTTTATTTTCTCAGTTTGTATTTTGAGATATTTGTAAGCAGCGTAATTAATATAATTCCCTCCATCTAGGAATCTTCTTACTGAAGTCATGGATAAGAACATACAACAGGATTTTGAGAACCAGTTCAATGATGTGGTCTCAAGACTACAATCAAAGAAGATGTTTCAGTCGGACTGGGACATTGCCTCTTTCGCAGTTTTCTTCATCTTTATAGGCAAGTAGAATTAAGCAAAAATAAGAAATGAACATAAGTAAGAATCATTAAGACAATGTTAAATGTCCATAGGCATGGTCCTGTTGCTGGTTATCTTGGTTCTCATCCGCTGCTGTTGCTGCTGCTGCTGTGATGAGAAGGTCAGAATGCTACTGGTGTAATCTCACAGATAACCTATCTATAGATTCATGAAACAATACAACTGTCATGACATTTGCGGTGACAGCAACTGTTTCGACGTTACAGCCAAGAAGACAGAAGGTGGGCATCGACAATATGGGAATGGAGCCGTGATCTTCCAGAAACAACAGGCACCATTACATCTATTGTTTTCCTATCAGTTTTGCCACCTAATCACTATTTATATGTGAACAAGTAAAATAATGGAGGTAGGAGAAAAATATTTTAGGTAGATACTTCCTTATAGGGATGATAAAAGCAAAAACCTTCCCCTACGGTGTAAAAATACAGCTAATATTTACCCAGGAAATCACATGATTGAAGTTACATTCCATTATAGATACCAGATCCACTTCATCAGAGAGAACACAGATTTTTATATACAAGCATGCTCACCAGTTTTGAAGACATTGGTTACTTTCTGGTTACACACTTTATTGAAGCAACTTTCCTGGATGGAAATGAACTTGTTTTTAGTTGTCCATTGAACAGTTTGTTTAATCTGTTAATCTTGTACCTGACTGTTAAGACTGAATCCACTTAGCCTACACCTTTTCACTGAATTAGCCTTGTCCAAGATTTAAGTGTTTTTAGTAGATTTCTTTCAAATGCTTGACTTTTAAATCGGATTATATATATATTAGAATACAGAACCTACACACTACAGAAGATAAAAAAAGAAAGAAAGAAAAAAGTTTAAACTTGACTGATGAGACTTCTCAGATTTTAGAAAATGTAAACAGATAAGCGATGCTTTACTTGTGAAAACTATACCTTAGAAAAATGAGTATCTATATTTGTTTAACTTTTTTAATGTACCACATTGTTTGTATAAATTTTAGACTTTGTAAACAAAAAAAATAGATACATACCTTCAAATGAACAGCATATAGCAAATAAAATGTACCTTTGCCTAAATATCAAACATGGTACTTTATTTAGACAATGGCATTGGATCATTTATTCAGTGTAAAGAATTTTGAGAAATGGGACAAGAGCAAAGTAAGGTTCATAATGTTCATAGTACGTTTATTGCACAAAATATTCCATATTAAGCGTGAAATATACATAAATAGCTTAGGTTTTACTTAAACATGAATCAATAATCAAATGAACATGCATGAAATCAATAAGGACGCAAATCAAGTGCATTTAACATGAAATAAATAAAAAATGTAGCAATAAATAAAACAAAGCTGACAAAGTTAAATAACTTTCTGTAATGATCTCAAACCCTGAACGGCATCTGAACTATCGCTCAACATGTTGCTTTTCATCATGGAATGATGCTTATTAAAAACGCTGAACTCGGCTCCATAAGCAGCCATCCACAGGAATGCGTGTAATTTTTATGGAATTATGGAATATGAAGCCCTGACATGCTCACTGTTATCTGTCATTTAGTGTTAATATAGTCACACCACAGTTGAGTCACAATGGCAAATACACTATTGGTCATTAATGCACATTCATAAGCATATGCTAATGGTCTCAATGCTTTCACTTTTCTGCACCGATGATAGTCCCTGGCATCAGATAATGTTCAAGTGTTAAATGTTACAACCCCCTGGACTAAAAGGCAAAAACACTGGTAAAATTAGTCTGACGAGGTCGCTCAACAAATCAACTGGAGTATTTCACAGCTTTTGTGACAAAAAAAAAAAGAAAGTAAGCATTGTGTATTTAGTAGCATTTCCTTCCTAAAGCCTAAACACATATTAGATGAGGTTAACTTCAATATAGGATAGATTACTGAAAAAGTCAACAATGACATATACTGCATAAACAAAAAATGTCACTGAATACCTTCATCTGAAGAGCCTGTTGTTTCAAATGAACGAATTCAGTCCATATACTACATACACAGCGCACTCTACCTCTTCTGCAGAACATATGCTGAACAAGCACACAAAATGAATACACGGTCATATAGTAAAGTCACAACAGATTATTTCACGGAAATTGTTCATGGTATTTTTTTTGTTCCTAGTGCATCCTAGAGCATAATTAATTTGATAATTTTTATTATCATTCACTGTAGAGTTTTGGTCAGAAATAGCTTAAAATGGTCTGTAGTTCCAGAAACTAGAGAAAACAGAAATCTGCAAATAAAAGGAAAGAAATGAACATGAAAATGTATCTTCTGTTAGGTAATGAAACGTATTGATTACAGCATTCCATTTAGATCTGCTCCCCTTGTGTCAAAGTTTTGCAAAGCAAATGGTGGATCACAGGTATTTGAATTAGTCTACAGGACAATCATTAAGAACAACTGGTGAGTTTACACAATGTTTTCAACGCTGATAATAATAAATGTTTATTTCTTAAGCAGCAAATCAGCATATTAGAATGATTTCTGAAGGATCATGTGACACTGAAGACTGGAATAATGATGCTGAAAATTCTTTTCATCACAGGAATAAATTACATTTAAAAATATATTCCAATAGAAAACAATTATTTTAAATTGCAATAATATTTCACAATATTACTGTTTTTACTGTATTTTTGATCAAATAAATGCAGCCTTGGGGAGCATAAGAGACTTCTTTCAAAAACATAAAACCAAAAATAAATCGTACTGACCCCAAACTTTTGAATGGTAATGAACTGGTTTTTACTGTATTTTTGATCAAATAAATGCAGCCTTGGGGAGCATAAGAGACTTCTTTCAAAAACATAAAACCAAAAATAAATCGTACTGACCCCAAACTTTTGAATGGTAATGAACTGTTCTAGGTGGAATACAAAAATGAGTGCTGAAAAAAAATACCACCAGACATGCATGTCTCACAAAAACAAATACATAAATAAATAGAAAAAAAGCTTGAAAATCATTGTTTGTAATTTGGAATGATCCTAGTAATTCTATTAATCAAAACCAATAATAATAAGAATAGATTAGGTATCACAATATCAAGGTAATTAATAAATAATTATTGCAGCACTAATTCTAAACTGCCCAGTAGCTCTGATAACCCTCTGATGTCATTCTGTTACCATGCATTGTTCTGAAGTGATGACGGTGACTGTGCAGGTGAGATGATAATCGCTACATTATCAACAGGACACACCCACCTTATCTTTGAGCTGCTGACAGAGCTGCAGGGAAATGGTGAAAAACACCAGAGTGTCATTCAGCCACGGCACCACGCACTCCACCTTATGGACGTGGCTCACCTCGAACTTGGTGTTGTTGTATTCACTTGAGGAGAAAAAGCAAATGTTACAAAAACTTTATCAAGCAGACCATTTTTAAAAAAACTGTATGAGACAGACTGCTGGTGCTGCAGCATGAAAACAGGAAATGTGAAATGTGAGCACTTACAACATTGCTCCTGGATTATGCAGCACTGAACTTCCTGCTGATTTGAAGTTCTAACAGAAAACAAAAAGATTGTGCATTTTAAAACACACACACACGTTCTTGTTAAGAATAACTAAAAAAGTTCTTTTTTTTTGTGCCAATGGCTTGATACCTTAGTAGTGTTAGGCTGCAGTACATGTAGTTGATACACTGTCAAACACAGTTTACTGAGATTGATATAGAAGTTCACCATCACGTCACCAGGCATTGGAGGTGTGAACATTTTCTAGAAAGAACAGGAGAAACATTCACAAGAGCACATTCCACATTAAGATCAAGTGACGATCCGCATACTAACCATTAGGCCACTGGCTGCGAGCTCAGGAAGAGTCATACTGGCCGGGGTTGTGAGTCTGTTTCGGGCTCGGGTCAACTGAAGCATTACTGCATCCATAAGCTGAAACACGAATCATGTCACTGAGTGCAATCTCACTTCACATACAGTACCAGTGAAAATGTTCAGACTGTAAGGAAAGAATGTTCCTATTTCAGAGTAACCTGTAGCACACAACAGCTTCAAATGTACTCACGGGAGAGTTCAATTATGCACATATGAACCACACAAGTACACACGAAGAAAACCAGGGGCCAGTTTTCTCAAAAACATTTCTTACGAATGTTCTAGAGAGAAAACTTATGAAATACAGTATTTGGATTACTGAAAAGAATCTACTTAAAAATCATTGTAAATAACCTTTTATAGCTGGACTCTACACAATCAAATAGGGACCTATTTCTAGGTGTGCTCTCTAGCAGAGCACACACAAGTACAGCACACAAGATAGATGGAGCACAACACCTTGAGACATGCTCTTTGAAAATGACTATGGCGCGTTAAAAAAATGTGACCAAGTGCAGAGAGTAATAAGAAAGGTAATCTGCAGGCAGCACAAAAAGACAGCCGCCTTCTTTAAAAAATTAGATGTTCTTAAGTAAATATTTGAGAACTTAAGAATTTACATAGTATTTGTTTCAAGAAATTTCTTATCTTCTTTCTTTAGAAGATTTTTTTTTTTGTGAATCTGGCCCCTGGACATCAACTGTAAATATTTGTGTATGGTGAAAAACAAACCTTATTGACTTCAGCTCCAGTTTTGAAGTGATAACTCTGGTCATGGCTGCTTAGTAACTGCAGGGCCTGATTCACATGGTTTCGGGCATCCTGAATCTAAATAGGGGCAGGATGTGTTTTAACAGCTATTTTTATAAGATATAAACCACTCCAAAGGAGATCATGTTGAAATAAGGCATTTTAAAGATCTTGTTTTGATTGATTGATTTTTTTAAAGATCTTAGAGTAAGAGAAAGAAACATTACCTGCTGCAATTTCCACTGTTTATCATCTCGGAATGCAAAATGCATTACTTGACTGCTTTTAGCAACTTTAATGTTAATATCCTGCAGAAAAAGATTTTTTTTTTTTTTTTATTATTCCCATTTTATATTGATTCTAATAATAGCAAAAGTAATCACTGAGCTCAGATAAACTGCATTGCAAAGTGTCTTTGCAATTCCACTGGCTGACATAAAGATGTTTTGTTGAATATAGTATCATACATTTTAAAAAGGCCAATTGAAGTACCAGAAGCAAAGCAGTGCCATTCATGCTGAAAGCTGACTTTATTTTCATGATGGTGTGAAACACACTTACAGCCTGAGTTAGAGCTTCTCCTTGTAGTGTCAAAACACCTTTCACCTGGTCCATCCTAAAAAAAGTGCAAATTAAAAAATAAATGAAAATGCAAGTATTTCTATACATCTTCAGCGCTGTACATATTCCCATAAAACTGTAGTAACAAAAAACAAACATGACTGTATACTTTAAATCTAAAATTATCCAAACAGAACAGTCTTGTTTCATGGCTCTTACGTTGAGCTGCCCAGAATGAAGTTCTCTTGTTTCAGCTGTCCTTCCAGACCTGGTGACGGCATTGAAAAACGCCTTGATGCCTCCTTTGGTGAAAGCAAACAAATGTTATTATTAATGCCCTTTTTTGCACAATAATACAGAATTATTCTGTAGTAACCTAATTTTTAAGTATCTGAAGTTACCTTCAAAATGTCTTGCAGCTGTTTCAGCACCGCATGCACCTCTTCTTTCAGCAGCCAATTAAATTCCTCCTCCTAAAGCACCCAAAAAGTTGCCTTCAATACATATTTCACTAAAAATATACATTCTGTCACCATTTACACACACTCATGACTAATGTGTGACTTCCTTTCTTCTGCATTTTTCTCTATACAGTGAAAGTCAATGGTGCCTGAAGCAGCCATTCTGCCTTTATTTTAAACAAAATAACAAGTCAACAACACAAGGGTGAGTAAATTATTTAAAAAAAAACCTTCAGACCTGGCGTCCATTGGAATGGACATTACATTCCAATGGACGCCAGGGAAGTCGTGGCCTAATGGTTAGAGAGTCGGACTCGTAACCCAAAGGTTGCGGGTTCGAGTCTTGTACCGGCAGGGATTGTAGGTGGGGGGAGTGAATGTACAGCGCTCTCTAAAAATGTTAATTTATGTTCATGCTAGCCTAATACATTTTCCCTCAGCATAATTTTAACAATTTCAAGTGTTAATATTTCAAGTTATTTTGAAAATATTTCATTTCATTAAGTTATAGGATTTTTTCAAAGTTTAATGTCCATCCCAATGGACATCAGGAGTCAAGAGATATTAGCCAGCACTCAGTTAGTTCATGCAAAGAAACAAAATACCTATAAGCATTTCATAGCTAAGCTATGACTTCACAATTGATTTATTTTATGTATATAACCTGTTTTTCACACAATGTTCCTTTAGAGTATATAGTCATAGACTTCCTTGAACACCTTGTAAATGGAGAGTTATCCGATCTTGACTGCTTGGATTCAGGAAATGAGGCAGATGAAAACGAGAGTAAGTGTAGATGTTGAGAGTATAGTACAAAGTTTTATGCCTTATATAATATGTAAATTGCAGAAAATGCATATGAGGTCACGAGTGAGAACATGGAAAAAGAGTTATAGATGTGATTGTTTTGTTATTGGATAGGACGAGGGACAGAGGAGATGCATGCATGCTTGAAGAACTTGAGGTGGCAGCTGAGGTTGAGGTAGAAGAAAGTGTCAGAGGATCAGGAGGAGATTACAGTGAACAGAGAGGAAGATGATCATGAGCAGATGACAATAACCAGGAAGCATGAGATTAAGTGGCGCCATAGGCCATTCACCACAATCATCGATACTTCCTTTCAGAATCATCTGATTTGGGAAGTTCCATGATAACTGAATGCAAAACTGATTTCTTGGGGTTACATTGCCCACAATCATCCAACCCATTCAATCCGCCAACCTCCTATGTTAAAAACATGGCCTTTTTTAATCTAAGATTTCATGGCATTTTACGTTCATTTAGTCGTGGCGTCCATTGCAATAGACATGAAAAAATACCAATAAAAACACGAGTTATCAAAAATGTTTTTTCCCCCCTTTATTTCTATGCTGGAAGGGAGTAAAAATCAACTGGGAATTTTTTTTTTTTGCTCAGCAGGTTAAAAAATTCATTTCTGGGCGAACTATCCCTTTGATTCGGTTGCAGAATTAAATCAATCAGTATGGTGCATTACTGGAAGAAACAGTAGCAACAGAGCAACGATGACAAGGCAGAACAAATCAGTGTCACGACTGTTTAACCATTCACACCAGGATGAATTTGGACTTTGTCCCACCAGCTGCTCTGCAAAACTGCACCAACAAACTCTGCATAGCAAAGCAATGAACACAATTGCAACTGCAATCCACCTGAAATCTGACTGCTCTTAATCAAACCATAATAACCTCGCGTATGTCTGTGAAGCAGCTGACATGTATTACACGCAAACCAATCTCTCACCAGCACAGTCCTCTCCGCTTGACTCGCGGCCGTCATCTTCGCTAGTTCAGACAGAGTAGATCGCTCTGCTCCGAGCATTACAATTCAATGAAGCCGTCCTAAATCTGCTGAAAATAACTCGAGCAGTCCGCTATTTAGTGTGCCTGCTCAGAGGCAGAGTTGCCAGGTTTTCACAAGAAAACCCGCCCGATCGCTACTCAAAACTAACCCAATCGCGTTTCGAGGGGGTCCCCAGTTAAAAATCGCGTTCCGGGGGGTAAAATACACGTTTTTTGGCGGGGTTTCCCTGCTAAAATTCGCATTCCAGGGGATAAATATGTTTTTGGAGTCGCTTCAACCCGCGGCAACAGTAGCCCAATTCCGCGGGAAAAACGCGGACTTGGCAACACTGGTCAGAAGATCACTCGTAAACAATTAGGTTTGATACGCCTCCTTTTCCTGAACTTCCGGTTGGTGTAACCTTGAAATCTTCCGGCTTGGAAAGGACAGAGGATTTTTCCGATTGTTTTTTTTTTTTTTTTTCACAACGCGAAACCATATTTGAAAATGAATTTCCATAAATAAAAACTACATTTGAACAACAACAAAAAAAAAATTGTATATGGTATTGCGCTTTCATTTAATAAATATGAACTCCTAGAACAGCAATACGGACATCAGACGTAAGAATAAATAACCAGCTGGACATTCTGTTTGTTTATTTAGAGGGTTCAGTTGACCGCACAAACAAAAAAGAAAAGAAATTTCACATTTACATGAAATTATAAATAGCTCCAATTATAACACCAACACCTTCCTTGCACAACTGGTATGTCATTACCAACTCTTGTTTAAGCCACAAAAATCAAACCATTTACAGTAAATAAACCCATTCGCTAAGACAAAAGAACAGTCTACAATATTAAGACAACAGATGATTAATAAATTCAGTAGAGTAAAACTGAAAGCATGTTATTCCATGTATTCAAATAACCCAACCCTTTGATGGGGATATATACAAGGTCTTAATCTTACAGAGTCACAAAATTCTCATCCATAACCAAGCACTTTAAAGTCTTTTTTTTTTTGGTCAGAACAACAATTTATAGAAAAGGAACCACCCTGTATTTGTTCTGTGTAGTAAAAAAAATAAATAATAATAATTACCAAAATGACCATATTATACGCCACTGAATTTATGGCTTGTAATATCACTAAAAATTAACAAATGCAATCATAATTTAGGGATAAAATGCACCATAATGTTAGCTTGACTTTGTTTTACATTTTTCTTTTTTTATGAGTCATAATGGTAATTCAAATAAAAACTGGCAAGTCAATTAGTTTAATTAGACAAAAAAATAAAAATAATAAAATAAAAAGCAACAGATCACTCTGCCAGCCGACTGACTTGGACAAAATATGACAAGTCCAATTTTCCAAATAAAGCAAACCAAATAAAAAAAACTTCAAATTATTTTTTTTCCCTCCACAACAGCTGAAAGAATTAAATGCTGTGATACAAATGTGGCCCTAAAGTCGCGCTGGAAAACAGGATGTTCCACTGCAGAAGTGATAGTCAAGACTCAATAATGGGAATACTGGATGCTTTTCAGCATTAGGTTCATTGGAAATGATGAATAATTTCTTGTGTGTAATTATTACAGCCAATTTCAAATAATAAAAAAAATACTGCATTTCTGATAAGGCAATAAAAACAAAATAATTTACTAGTGAACAAGTGACCTCTAAAACTAAGGGTGGGGGGTGGGGGGGTTAAGAAAATGTATGGCCAAATTGCACCTGACATGATGGCAATCTTTAGAGATAAAATAAATACTATCTATCTTATATGGGTATTAAGGCAATGCATTGGCTTTTTAATTCGTCGTGCTCCTCAAGCCTGTTTGTGATCAAAAGTTCATACTTTACAGATTTTTAAACTTTGAAAATTACAATGTGGGAATTCATTTGTAAAGATTTGAATGATAAATAAAAACCCTAGGATCTTCAAACAACACTGCATCGTATGCAGTAGCCTTAACGAAATGCGGATATAATACACTGCACGTTCAATCATAAGATAATCATTTGCAGGGAGTTTAATAACCTCCCACTGAGCATATGTGCAGCAATATTACAGTCAGTGCAATGCTTAGATTAGGCTGCTAAATAGATCCCATTACACATGGGAAAACATCAATGGTGCCCAACAAAATTCATCAGCAGAGGAGAGAAAGACAGAGGGAGAGGAACAAAGTAGGTGAGGTTTGTGGTCCAGGACGCATTAGTGAATATAAGCTCTGTAGACTGCAGACATGTCATTGTCCGACTGGTCCAATGCTTTTGCCCTCTTGTATACCTGCAGAAGTACGAAATAATGCATTACTTCAAATGGAAGCATAAGCCGAAATTACATTTAGTCTTAGAAAAAACAATTAACGTTTAATGACATTTAAGCTGATAATAATTTTCCTTTTATGGCCAATAACCGATAAAAAAAAACAGAAATATAAATTTTATACTATAGATACTAAATTCTATATTATCTATACTAAATTCTATTGTCTAAAAAATTAAAAACACTAAAAACTAAAATTTAGTTTTAAATGCTACAAATGAATTTAGGCATCACAATATTATGTATAACGAAAAATGGATATTCATTTTGAGATTTGCTAAAGATTACATTTAACCGCTTTATTAAATTAGTGTTTTTAAAGATTAACTGAGTATTATATACTGGTAAAAGTAATCTAAAAGTAAAAATAGGGGAAATGACTATTAAATATCTATATACTTCAATTAAATATGCATATTACAGTTTAATTCAGTTCTTTGGTTAAATTTAGATTACTATCAAATTGCATTACAGAATCTAAAAACATATACATTAGTTAGCTACATGGTCAATCTACCAAAACTCAATGAAGCATCAATTGTGGCCATATTATAATCCATTCAGCTACCGAATACTAATGCTGTCTTACCTCATTTGCAGCAGCCGCCATTGGTGTTGGATGATTAACCGAATCTCCCATTGAAATGGCTAATCTCAGATCTTTCTGAATATGTTTCAGGTAGTAATCAGGTTTGAAGTTGCCCTGCAAGATATCTGAGAAGAAACAGGTCAAATGTTAAATAAATAAGCTCAATTCTAGTATCATTTTAATAGTTCCAAAAAGTTAAACTATCATACTGTGTTGCCTCTAGATTCTAATAGTCACCAGTTTCCATTTGTTTTATAAAAGTTCTGTAAAGTTCCTTGGAAAATTTGTGCAATAAATGACTATATTGGCTTTTGGGAGGACACCGTTTCACATTAAGACCAAAGACTACGATCTCCAAGCAGCACCATGTTACAGAAAATGGCTAATTGGCAGGAAGATTCAAAGGTAAACTCAAATCTACCAACACATAAAACATAGCAACTATGACAACTGCTATTATAAACGACTATTATACAGAGAGACTTCTAATCAGAATTGTAAAAGTAAGCCTACTCTGGCATTTCTGGTCCACAAACGTGCTTGCCATTTGTCCTTGGCAAAGAATATCCAAGAATGTTTGTTGTGACTGTCCCGTGGCCTGCGCCAAGGTCAATCCCTCTGCGATGGTTGCCATGAAACTGCCTTGAACCATGTTAAGGATCAGCATCATTCGTGCAGCATTTCCTGCTTCCCCTGCTTCGATAGAAAAGAAAGTTAATATCATGTGGAAACATGCAACATCAGCCTCGTATACAGCCACACGGCACGACTGAAATGTAGTACCTATGAAGAAAGACGTCTTCCCCATTGCCTGGAAGCAGCTGCTACAGTCTTCATAAACACTGCGGTCTCCTGCAGCAACAATGACCAGCATACCGTCATTGGAAAGCTGCTGGCTGCCCGAAACCGGAGCTTCTAGGAATCTGCCGCCTCTGGATGTGATGACCTACAGATTCAAATGAACCTTATGCCGAGTTCACACTGCACGATTTTAGCCCGATTTTCATCTCCACGTAACATTTGCCTGGTCTGATTCCCTGTAGGACTCCACTAGGACCCAACACAAGCTGAACAGAAATAATACTGTACATGTAAACCAAAGACAGAGCAGCTTGACAGATTGAAAACAAAGAGCCATTTACAAAACATTGACCTACATCTCTGGCAGCTTTTGGGTCTGATACACAGGAAAATGTGATATCGCACATGGACACAACTTCTGCTGGTGTTCGTCCTAATCTGGCACCTTCTGAAAAATCATTCACACACTTAGTGTAACGTCAGAAGCAAGCATATTTAAACCCTTTGATTGTACCTTTTCTGCCGTGCGATTCCAAACAGTCACAACATGCCCCATCTTCAACAAATTAGAAACCACACCACTTCCCATCAGCCCTAGTCCAAGGAACCCTATCCTGTTGTGAAAACAAATAAATTATATTACAAACATTACAGGTATTATCAGCATACTGATTTAAGAGAATGGTTTAACAAACACTGGTTGCAGAATATTTTTTGATTCACTATAAAGAACCAGCTCACAAGAGTGTCTGTGAATCGGACAACACTGGTAGTGAAGTGCACTTGTTTTTGCATGCGAAACAAAAACACGGGTCAGCAGAACACTGTGGTATCTGCAGAACAGGATGCACTGTACGAATTCAAATGCAGACAATTTAAATAAAAAACAACAACAGCAACAACAAAAAAAACCTTTTTTTTTTTGTTGGGGAAAAAAAAACTAATTGCAAAAAAAAAAAAAAAAATTTATTTGGGTTGATTTATTAAAGGGGTCATATGATGCGATTTCAATTTTTCCTCTCTTTGGAGTGTTACAAGCTCTTGGTGC